CCACCTCCACCGCCACCCACTCTGGACAATCGCCGCACGCGGACAATTTCTTTTTCTCGCTCAGTCCCTCTTCCCCCCAAACAGTCTCCCGCCGGGGCGTCTGTCGCTCCGTCTGCGAGTCTGTCTCTGTAACAAGTACCAGCCTCTGATGATGGAGACAGTAGGTGTCTGTGGCCATTTCAAAAACAAATTAACCCAGGAGTCGGTCCTCCTGATTCCTTCTAGACAACAGACGCATTCTGAATAAACAACCTATAGATTTTATCGGCTAAAAAAACCCCAAAAAACCCCACAAAATTATTCCAGACATTGAATGAGCCCCAAACTCCAGCTGGGTTTGCGACGCTTCGTAACTGCGGTTCTTCTGCGGATCTCTCCACGTCTAGCGAAGGGAGAGGTGCCTGAAAATCCCGGTTAGCGGAGGCGCCGTGTGAGTCAACACAGCGCCCAGGGCCCCCTCCGCACCGGGGGCCCGTTTCTAACTGAAATTGGTCGGTGTCCTCACAAGGGTTCGTAGCCGCGGGCCTCCGCCGGCCCTTCTCGCATGCTGGGCACTTGGCGGAATAAGCGGAGGGGACAGTAACCCAGGAAGCCACGGCGGGGAGGGAGGGAGGGGGCGGCTGTGAGTCTCCGAGGGGCCCGGGCCCGTCGCGCGGTGACACCCGCGACATGAGGACATGGGCGAAACGTCCCCTGGGTGTCCTCTCGGAAGGGTGGCCTCAGGGACACGGCAAACATGCCACCAAAGAGCAGCAAACAGCATTGATTATAAAAGGCACCCGTGGAGGAGACAAAGGAAAAGAGGAGAGACTCGGGGCAAAGTGACCTTCGGTGGAAAAGACAGAGCCTGTCGCCTGAACCACAAGAGACCACGTACCTGGGCCAGGTCCACGCTCGATCTTCTGTGGACACGAAACGTATCTCCTTCCACGTCTGTGGCGCCGAAGGTGTCGCTCAAACGGCCTTGGGCGTCCTGGGTGGACTTGCTGGTGATTTCGCCAAGATCTCTGCCCAAAACAAAAGAGGGAGAGAGCGGTTCTGTGGAACTCGGGCCACGCTGGGCAAGTCGGCTAAGGGCGGCTTTCGCCCCCTTAGGGAAACGTGTTCCTGTCCGGCCCTCGGGGCTGCCGGCTTCTCACACCCTGCGCCCTTCCTTTCCCAGGGCTGCTCACCTGGCACCAGGACACAGTTTGGGGTCACCCCTCCCGGGATAAGTCTTGTCAGAGACCCAGGAAAAGATAAAGCAGATCGTTTGGGCGGCCCCCACGGCGCTAGTTAATGAGGAGAGTGAGTTTTCGCTCGGATGCATTTTTCCACGCGTAAAAGAGTTTGAAATTATGAAATCGTATCAGTACATCTGTCAAATGGTCTAGATTGTACCCAGACAGTGACTGCGTTTGCCGGGCTCTCCGCTTGGTCTCTCCAGCGAGGCCGACCGGTCTCCCTGAACCGCGTGGCCCGAGCTCCCTGTCATCGCCCCGCTGGCCGGCGATAAAGACGTTTCTCCCCTCGATTAGGCCAGACGAAGACCGGCAGCTGTGCCTCTTTCCCTCCTGGACTAGAGAATCCTGGTTTTGCTAAAACTGCTGAGAACTGAGCTCGCCGACCTTCTCAGGTTGGACACGGCCTGTGCTCTCTCCGGGAATGAATTTCTGTGACTTTCCTCTGAAAAGACAGCATCTTCCTGGGCGCCTTCCACATAACAAGATGTTTTCTCCCCCTGACTTTCTCCTCCGGCCCCTGGCACCTGGGCGAGGGCCTCGGGCCGCCGGGGAGGCTCTGAATGCCGGGCACTGAATGACCCTCCCCTGCGCCCCCAGCTCCTCCCTGGCACCGGTGGGGGGGGGGCTTAAAACAGCTACTATTTCTGGCTGCAGTTTCGAGCATCCCGCTGGTCCCCTTTGGCTCCCCCCTCCCCCCCCCGTGCACATGCACTTAGCAGGAAAGTGACCGGCCGAGGAGAAACGCTCGACATAAATCAATATGTCAGACGTACTTGAAGAAATTCGGTCCCAGAGGAGCAGAGGCAGAGCTGGGGGTTCAGACTCTCCGAGAAGAGCGCCCGCGCACCGGCCACTCGCCCGGGCTGGGCGACGTCATCGTTTTTGACCGATTTTTGTTTTTCTTATTGATTTCACCAAGGACTTCCTATCACTATCAGTGACACCGAATTGCTGTCCAGTATTAAACTTTAAAGTTTTAAAACACGCCCGGCCGGGCGTGGCTCAGCGGTTGAGCATTGACCTAGGATCCAGGCGATCCGGGTTCGATTCCCGGTCAGGGCCCAGGCCCGGGTTGCGGGCTGCAGCCGATCAATGACTCTCATCATTGATGTTTCTCTCTCTCTCTCTCCCTCTCCTTTCCTCTCTCTGAAATCAATAAAGATATATTTAAAAAATAAAAATAAATAAAAATAAAGTTTTAAAACACAATGAAAGTTAGACACTCCTCCCCTTATGTACACAGGTACCCACACAGGTGTATTAGTGACTTGGAGCCGAAGCTGCCTTTGAGGTTAATCCCCAGCGCTTTCCTATGGTTGGCAAAATTCCTCATTTTAGATGGGAAACTGGGGCTCCGAGACTCACTCGAGCAAGAAACGCGACGCTGCGAACCCCCCGTGGGCGCGGCCAGGCTCCCCTTCCACAGCGACGAGATGCTCGCCTTGAGCACTCAGGTTATATCTAACACCACGAACGAAATACCAATTTTAACGTCAGAAGTCCCTGCGGTGTGGTGTTTTGATCAGACGGGAAAGGGGGGCTGGACTTACCCCGACGCGAGCACTGCCGTGGGAACGAGGAATTTGGGTGAAACATCTGAAGGGTCAGAGGACTCGCCCGAGTCTCAGTGTCCCCGTCACCTCTCACTAGACGACGGCACCATTCGTAGTCTCTTTTCTCCCTCCCTGATTTTCCTACTGACTGAGGAGTCCTCAGAGGCCCTGGCCGGGTGGCTCCGTTGGTTGGGGCATCGCCCCCGATGCTCCAAGGATGGGGGTTTGATACCCAGTCAGGGCACATACAAGAATCAACCAATGAATGAACAATAAATTGATGTTTTTCTCTCTCTCTCTCAAATCAATAAATTTAAAAAGAAGAAATTTAAGACTAATGGGAGCTTGAAAGGCAGTGGTAGAGTCCAAACCGTTCTCATTTAAAAAAAAAAAAAATTGTTGTAAAATTTTTTAATTAAAATAGTCCCAAGGCAGTTTCCCGGTCGGTCCACAAGCCTAACAGCTGCATTAACTACACGGACGTGTTAACGGTCTAGCACTTTCCCACGGACGTTCAGCCCATTCCGATCGCCCTGGAAGCACCGAGCCTGAGGACTGAGAACCGCAC